AGAAATCCACCAAGCCATTTCTGAGGCGTTCAGAAATAACAGAAATCCACCAAGCCATTTCTGAGGCGTTCAGAAATAACAGAAATCCACCAAGCCATTTCTGAGGCGTTCAGAAATAACAGAAATCCACCAAGCCATTTCTGAGGCGTTCAGAAATAACAGAAATCCACCAAGCCATTTCTGAGGCGTTCAGAAATAACAGAAATCCACCAAGCCATTTCTGAGGCGTTCAGAAATAACAGAAATCCACCAAGCCATTTCTGAGGCGTTCAGAAATAACAGAAATCCACCAAGCCATTTCTGAGGCGTTCAGAAATAACAGAAATCCACCAAGCCATTTCTGAGGCGTTCAGAAATAACAGAAATCCACCAAGCCATTTCTGAGGCGTTCAGAAATAACAGAAATCCACCAAGCCATTTCTGAGGCGTTCAGAAATAACAGAAATCCACCAAGCCATTTCTGAGGCGTTCAGAAATAACAGAAATCCACCAAGCCATTTCTGAGGCGTTCAGAAATAACAGAAATCCACCAAGCCATTTCTGAGGCGTTCAGAAATAACAGAAATCCACCAAGCCATTTCTGAGGCGTTCAGAAATAACAGAAATCCACCAAGCCATTTCTGAGGCGTTCAGAAATAACAGAAATCCACCAAGCCATTTCTGAGGCGTTCAGAAACAACAAAAATCCACCAAGCCATTTCTGAGGCGTTCAGAAATAACAGAAATCCACCAAGCCATTTCTGAGGCGTTCAGAAATAACAGAAATCCACCAAGCCATTTCTGAGGCGTTCAGCCCTAACAGAAATCCACCAAGCCATTTCTGAGGCGTTCAGAAATAACAGAAATCCACCAAGCCATTTCTGAGGCGTTCAGAAATAACAGAAATCCACCAAGCCATTTCTGAGGCGTTCAGAAATAACAGAAATCCACCAAGCCATTTCTGAGGCGTTCAGAAATAACAGAAATCCACCAAGCCATTTCTGAGGCGTTCAGAAATAACAGAAATCCACCAAGCCATTTCTGAGGCGTTCAGAAATAACAGAAATCCACCAAGCCATTTCTGAGGCGTTCAGAAATAACAGAAATCCACCAAGCCATTTCTGAGGCGTTCAGAAATAACAGAAATCCACCAAGCCATTTCTGAGGCGTTCAGAAATAACAGAAATCCACCAAGCCATTTCTGAGGCGTTCAGAAATAACAGAAATCCACCAAGCCATTTCTGAGGCGTTCAGAAATAACAGAAATCCACCAAGCCATTTCTGAGGCGTTCAGAAATAACAGAAATCCACCAAGCCATTTCTGAGGCGTTCAGAAATAACAGAAATCCACCAAGCCATTTCTGAGGCGTTCAGAAATAACAGAAATCCACCAAGCCATTTCTGAGGCGTTCAGAAATAACAGAAATCCACCAAGCCATTTCTGAGGCGTTCAGAAATAACAGAAATCCACCAAGCCATTTCTGAGGCGTTCAGAAATAACAGAAATCCACCAAGCCATTTCTGAGGCGTTCAGAAATAACAGAAATCCACCAAGCCATTTCTGAGGCGTTCAGAAATAACAGAAATCCACCAAGCCATTTCTGAGGCGTTCAGAAATAACAGAAATCCACCAAGCCATTTCTGAGGCGTTCAGAAATAACAGAAATCCACCAAGCCATTTCTGAGGCGTTCAGCCCTAACAGAAATCCACCAAGCCATTTCTGAGGCGTTCAGAAATAACAGAAATTAACCAAGCCATTTCTGAGGCGTTCAGAAATAACAGAAATCCACCAAGCCATTTCTGAGGCGTTCAGCCCTAACAGAAATCCACCAAGCCATTTCTGAGGCGTTCAGAAATAACAGAAATCCACCAAGCCATTTCTGAGGCGTTCAGAAATAACAGAAATCCACCAAGCCATTTCTGAGGCGTTCAGAAATAACAGAAATCCACCAAGCCATTTCTGAGGCGTTCAGAAATAACAGAAATCCACCAAGCCATTTCTGAGGCGTTCAGAAATAACAGAAATCCACCAAGCCATTTCTGAGGCGTTCAGAAATAACAGAAATCCACCAAGCCATTTCTGAGGCGTTCAGAAATAACAGAAATCCACCAAGCCATTTCTGAGGCGTTCAGAAATAACAGAAATCCACCAAGCCATTTCTGAGGCGTTCAGAAATAACAGAAATCCACCAAGCCATTTCTGAGGCGTTCAGAAATAACAGAAATCCACCAAGCCATTTCTGAGGCGTTCAGAAATAACAGAAATCCACCAAGCCATTTCTGAGGCGTTCAGAAATAACAGAAATCCACCAAGCCATTTCTGAGGCGTTCAGCCCTAATAGAAATCCACCAAGCCATTTCTGAGGCGTTCAGAAATAACAGAAATCCACCAAGCCATTTCTGAGGCGTTCAGAAATAACAGAAATCCACCAAGCCATTTCTGAGGCGTTCAGAAATAACAGAAATCCACCAAGCCATTTCTGAGGCGTTCAGCCCTAACAGAAATCCACCAAGCCATTTCTGAGGCGTTCAGAAATAACAGAAATCCACCAAGCCATTTCTGAGGCGTTCAGAAATAACAGAAATCCACCAAGCCATTTCTGAGGCGTTCAGCCCTAATAGAAATCCACCAAGCCATTTCTGAGGCGTTCAGAAATAACAGAAATCCACCAAGCCATTTCTGAGGCGTTCAGAAATAACAGAAATCCACCAAGCCATTTCTGAGGCGTTCAGAAATAACAGAAATCCACCAAGCCATTTCTGAGGCGTTCAGAAATAACAGAAATCCACCAAGCCATTTCTGAGGCGTTCAGAAATAACAGAAATCCACCAAGCCATTTCTGAGGCGTTCAGAAATAACAGAAATCCACCAAGCCATTTCTGAGGCGTTCAGAAATAACAGAAATCCACCAAGCCATTTCTGAGGCGTTCAGAAATAACAGAAATCCACCAAGCCATTTCTGAGGCGTTCAGAAATAACAGAAATCCACCAAGCCATTTCTGAGGCGTTCAGCCCTAACAGAAATCCACCAAGCCATTTCTGAGGCGTTCAGAAATAACAGAAATCCACCAAGCCATTTCTGAGGCGTTCAGAAATAACAGAAATCCACCAAGCCATTTCTGAGGCGTTCAGCCCTAATAGAAATCCACCAAGCCATTTCTGAGGCGTTCAGAAATAACAGAAATCCACCAAGCCATTTCTGAGGCGTTCAGAAATAACAGAAATCCACCAAGCCATTTCTGAGGCGTTCAGAAATAACAGAAATCCACCAAGCCATTTCTGAGGCGTTCAGAAATAACAGAAATCCACCAAGCCATTTCTGAGGCGTTCAGAAATAACAGAAATCCACCAAGCCATTTCTGAGGCGTTCAGCCCTAACAGAAATCCACCAAGCCATTTCTGAGGCGTTCAGAAATAACAGAAATCCACCAAGCCATTTCTGAGGCGTTCAGAAATAACAGAAATCCACCAAGCCATTTCTGAGGCGTTCAGAAATAACAGAAATCCACCAAGCCATTTCTGAGGCGTTCAGAAATAACAGAAATCCACCAAGCCATTTCTGAGGCGTTCAGCCCTAACAGATATCCACCAAGCCATTTCTGAGGCGTTCAGAAATAACAGAAATTAACCAAGCAATTTCTGAGGCGTTCAGAAATAACAGAAATCCACCAAGCCATTTCTGAGGCGTTCAGCCCTAACAGAAATCCACCAAGCCATTTCTGAGGCGTTCAGAAATAACAGAAATCCACCAAGCCATTTCTGAGGCGTTCAGAAATAACAGAAATCCACCAAGCCATTTCTGAGGCGTTCAGAAATAACAGAAATCCACCAAGCCATTTCTGAGGCGTTCAGAAATAACAGAAATCCACCAAGCCATTTCTGAGGCGTTCAGAAATAACAGAAATCCACCAAGCCATTTCTGAGGCGTTCAGAAATAACAGAAATCCACCAAGCCATTTCTGAGGCGTTCAGAAATAACAGAAATCCACCAAGCCATTTCTGAGGCGTTCAGAAATAACAGAAATCCACCAAGCCATTTCTGAGGCGTTCAGAAATAACAGAAATCCACCAAGCCATTTCTGAGGCGTTCAGAAATAACAGAAATCCACCAAGCCATTTCTGAGGCGTTCAGAAATAACAGAAATCCACCAAGCCATTTCTGAGGCGTTCAGAAATAACAGAAATCCACCAAGCCATTTCTGAGGCGTTCAGAAATAACAGAAATCCACCAAGCCATTTCTGAGGCGTTCAGAAATAACAGAAATCCACCAAGCCATTTCTGAGGCGTTCAGAAATAACAGAAATCCACCAAGCCATTTCTGAGGCGTTCAGAAATAACAGAAATCCACCAAGCCATTTCTGAGGCGTTCAGAAATAACAGAAATCCACCAAGCCATTTCTGAGGCGTTCAGAAATAACAGAAATCCACCAAGCCATTTCTGAGGCGTTCAGAAATAACAGAAATCCACCAAGCCATTTCTGAGGCGTTCAGAAATAACAGAAATCCACCAAGCCATTTCTGAGGCGTTCAGAAATAACAGAAATCCACCAAGCCATTTCTGAGGCGTTCAGAAATAACAGAAATCCACCAAGCCATTTCTGAGGCGTTCAGAAATAACAGAAATCCACCAAGCCATTTCTGAGGCGTTCAGAAATAACAGAAATCCACCAAGCCATTTCTGAGGCGTTCAGAAATAACAGAAATCCACCAAGCCATTTCTGAGGCGTTCAGAAATAACAGAAATCCACCAAGCCATTTCTGAGGCGTTCAGAAATAACAGAAATCCACCAAGCCATTTCTGAGGCGTTCAGAAATAACAGAAATCCACCAAGCCATTTCTGAGGCGTTCAGAAATAACAGAAATCCACCAAGCCATTTCTGAGCCATTTCAGAAGTTGTCTGCATTCGAGAAGGTGACCGGGACCGTTCGTTTGGGATTGTACGACAGGTGAAAGTCGAGGGATTCAGGCCGAACTTTGTAAGGAGGCGCACGCAACCCCCTTCCCACCATCTCAAAATCAATTTGAACACTCGTAGTGATGGCGCTTTGCCTCAGTTTTTCTTACCCTCAGTTTCTCTTCACACCCTTTTTCTTCCCCCTCTTGTTCCCCCCTCCAGGTGACGTTCAACACTCTTCTTCGCCTTCCCTTGCAAGCCGACACTCTCCCACCCTCCTCCTCCTCCTCCTCCTCCTCCTCCTCCTCCTCCTCCTCCTCCTCCTCCTCCTCCTCCTCCTCCTCCTCCTCCTCCTCCTCCTCCTCCTCCTCCTCCTCCGCCGCCGCCTCCTCCTCCTCCTCCTCCACCTTCTCCCCCTCTTCCCCCGTGTCCTCCTCCCAATACCCCCTCACATCTTCCCCATCTGCCTCTCGAATTCCTCGCCTGACTGCGATTGGTGCATCAGCAGCAGCCAATCAGAGGCGCATTCAGCGGCTGCTCTTGGTGTATGAGGAGATGAGGCAGGCGGGGTGAGTGGGAGGGGAGGAGTGGGGGGGGCAGGGGTGAGTTGACTGAAATGAAAGCATGAAGGTATGTGATTGTGCCAGGCGCATTTGTGCAATCAGAGGCGCATTCAGTGGCTGCTGCTGGTGTATGAAGAGATGAGGCAGGCAGGGTGAGTGGGGGGGAGGGCAGGCAGGGTGGGGGGAAGTGGGAGGCCCTAGCTCGGGTAGTGAGTTGAGATAGAGGTGTGAATGAATGTAACTGTGCCAGGCGCATGCAGCCAATCAGACTCCCAAATCTCCGTCCCATCACTCTGACTTTCTCCACCCTTCAACCCCCCTTCCCCCTTCTCCCCCGTCCCTCTATTCCCTCCAGCTACTCCCCCAACGACTATGTGCTCAAGAGCCTTTTAGGGGAGATGGCTGAAGGCGCCTTGGACTCTCCCCTCTCCTCCTTCCGCTCCTCTTCTTCCCCGTCAGCACCATTCTCTCTCCCGTTTTCCCCCATTTTCAATTCTCCTCTCCAGCTACTCCCCCAACGACTATGTGCTCAAGACCTACTAGGGGAGATGGCAGAAGGTGCACTAGACCATCCTCTCTCCGCCCCATCTTTCTCTGACCTTATCCACCCCCTTTCCCCCTTATCCCCCCCAGCTACTCCCCCAACGACTATGTGCTCAAGAGCCTACTAGGGGAGATGGCAGAAGGTGCACTAGACCCTCCTCTCTCTGCCTTCCCCTCCTCCTTATTTCCCTCCGCATCCTCCTCATCGTCCTCCGCCTCAATTGCTCCCTCGTCCTCTCACCAAAGTAGCCCGGCTAGGGATGGTCTGAGCGGTGCTGGGAGAACAGCAGCAGGCATGGCAGGGGGGAGGACAGCAACCAGAGAAGAGGAGCCTGATGCTGATGCTCATGATGTTGCGAGCGGGTCAGATGGAAGAGTGGGAGGAGGGGAGGGAGGAGAGGAGGAGGGGAGGGCGGTTGAGGGCTTGACCAAGCTTGATCTCCACGGCCTCTCTCGGGTGGGTTTCTTGATCCTCATTCTCTCTAACATGTTCTTGCTTCTGTTTTGTTCCCTGCTTTCCTTGCTTTCTTTTCCGTCTTTTCGTCAGAGGTCGTTCCTTGCCAACGTAATGTGTTTACCGTACGTTATCCCTCTGATCCATTGACCTTCCGCATCGTCTTCCATTGAACCCCTTTGGTCATCCCTCCTCGCTGCCTTCCATCCTTCCTAACTCCCCTTCTTCCCACCTCACCGCCCTCCATCCCTCCTCACCGCTCTCCATTCCTTCTTTAACACCTACCAGGCAGAGGCACGCACGGCAGTGCTCTCTGTGCTTCGCCTGCTCAAGGAGACTTTCCAGCGCTCAGGGGGTGAGTGAGCATAGCACCACATAGCACCGCACTGCACTGCACTGCACTGTACAGCACAGCACGCACCAGCAGTGCTCTCTCAGCTTCGCCTGCTTAAGGAGACTGTCCAGCGCTCAGGGGGTGAGTGAGCATATCACTGTGATGTATGTAAATACATATTTATACTATACATATACAATACACATATACACACGTATTATACATTTAGTATAGATGTATCGCCTCCTCTAGATGACCTGCCAGTGTCGAGGGGTGAGTGAGCATGCCATGTTATTAACCCCTTGTACGTACCCATTCATGCCCTTCAGGTGTCCCCATACAAGACGACCTCGTTATAATCACAGGCACTGGCCGGCGCAGCTCAACGCCAGGCCACTCCGTGGTGCGTGAGGCGGTAACGCACATGTTACAAAACGAGCTTGGACTTCCCGTCGTTTCTCCACCGCCTGTTTACAAGCTCGCTGCTACCAGTGGTGGTAGTTTTTCTTCGAGCCAATCTAGTTCTTCTGAAGATGAGGGGGAAGGGAGCGGGAGTGGTCTGCTCGTGCAGAAGAGAAATCCCGGGCGATTGGTTGTTCCCAAGGCGGCTCTGAATGAGTGGCTGCAAAGAAAGCGTGCCTGACATCGTGGTTGGTGTTAATGTTGTGGTTCATTATGCCTGGATAACATGAGTTATTGAATGAAGACTTCAAGCTTCGTAATTACTGATATAGTGGTGTTAAGTTGTAATGTGTTATATATATGTGGGTAGGCTGTAGTGGGGTAGCCAATACAGGGTACAAACCCAACTAGGGTTAGCTACTTGTACCCAACTGTTTCTTTCAATGCACCATTCTTACGCTAGTATTCAGAGCAGGTGGTCCCTAGGACCATCCGATCGTTTTTTTTTTAGGGCCCACCACCGCACGCTGCGGTTACCGCGTTACCCCCGCGCCCTACCCTCGTAGCGCCCTCGTTGCGCCCTAGCGCCCTCGTAGCGCCCTTGTAGCGCCCTCGTGCGCCCTGCCGACCGGCGTCCTGCCAGCCCAGAGCCCCGCGCGCCTCCCCCTCCCCTGCTTTGCCCGTCGCGCCGCCCGCTCTGCCCCGCGCTGCCCGTCGCGCTGCCTCGCAGCCCCGCGCACCGCCCGCTGTGCCCCGAGCCGCCCGTCGATCTGCTGCGCAGCCCCGCGACCCGCCCGCCCTGCCCTGCGCTGCCCGTCGCTCGGCTCTGCAGCCCCGCGCGCCGCCCGCTGTGCCCTGCGCCGCCCGTCGCGCTGCCCGCCCGCCCGCCGCGCTGCCCGCTTGCGGAGTCGCCCGCCAGTCGCGCTGCCCGCCTGCAGCGCCGCCTGCCTGCCGCGCTGCCCGTCCACAGAGCCGCCTGTCCGCCGCGCTGCCCGCTTGCAGCGCCGCCTGCTGCTCCCTACCCGTGAGCAATTGCCCACCCTTGCTGCGGTAGCTTGCGCTGCTCTGTCATACTGTCGCTATGGCTTCCATCCGCGTGCTGTCGTTCGATGCTGAGGGCCGCCCTGTGCAGTTCACCACTTGGCTAGATGACCTGCAGCTGTTCCTCCTGAGCGATAGCAAGGAGCATGTGTCGCTCTATGATTATGCGTCTGGTGCTGCACCTGCCCCTCCTGCCACAGCTGAGCTTAGTGTTCGTTCCCACTGGCAGACTCGTGACGCAGCTGCTCGCCTAGCCATTCGCAGTCACCTGCCGTTAGCTGAGCTCGAGCATTTTGGCGACTGCAAATCCGCTAAGGCCCTGTACGACGCTGTCGTTGCTCGCTACTCCTCACCGGCCACAGCTGAGCTTAGCCGCCTCATGCTGCCTTACCTGTTTCCTGAACTGTCCACCTTTGCTACAGTCGCCGATCTTATCACCCACCTTCGCACTAGTGACGCTCGCCTGCGTGCCGCCCTTCCCACTGAGTTCTGCGCTAAGAACCCCCCTCCACTGTACTGGACACTCCACTTCATAGTCACCCGTCTCCCTGACACCCTCAGCTCAGTGCGCGACTATTTCCTTGCTCGCTGTCCCACTGAGCTCACTGTCGCCCTCCTAGAGGAGAAGCTGCTAGCAGCCGAGAAGAGCATTGTAGCTGTCGGTGCTGCTCGCCGCGCTCCTCGCACCCCCATCTTTGAGGGGTGCTCTCCCTCTCCCCTCGCTCCCTCCTATGCTACTGCTGCTGCTGTTGACTTCCTTGGTGCTGAGTCTGCTGGCGCTGCTTCTGCTCCTGGTGGGAGGCGCCGCACCGGCAAGGGCAAGGGGGGCAAGGGTGGCGGGGGTGGCGCTGGGGGGGGAGGAGGTGGGGGAGGTGGGGGGGGAGGCGGTGCTGGAGGGAGCGGTGGCGGGAGTGCTGGTGGGAGTGGGGTCGGCAGCGGAGGCGGGGGCGGCGGAGGGAGCGGTGGCGGTGGTGGCGGCGGCGGCGGTGGCGGCGGTGGCAGTGGCGGCGGTGGCGGTAGCGGCAGTGGCGGTCGGAGCGGAGGTGGTGGTGGCGGCGGAGGTCGGAGTGGTGGCACTGGCTCGGGCCAGAGCTCCCAGCCGCAGCAGCGTCCCCAGACGACCCAGCAGCTTCGTGAGTGGCTTGCTCAGCGTGGGACGTCGGGGGGCAACAGCCGCTGTTCCTATGTCATTCGCACAGGTGACCGCAAGGGACAGACGTGTGGGAGGTTCCACACCCCGTACCGCTGCTTCTCCCGCCTTGACGACGCTTGGCGTGAGGAGATGGGCGAGGATGTTGAGCGCCCCTGCTGGGCGGAGCTGATGAGGGCTGGTGTTGATATCTTTGCTCTTGACTATGATGCTATTATTGCTGCCATGTATGCATTGACTGTTAGTGCCGAGGGAGACTGTTACTTGTGTGTGCCGCCTGACCCAGGTATAGAGCCCGCTCCCCTAGGTACCAGTGAGTCTGCTCTCTCTGGTATGGTGCCCTCTGTGTCTGCTCCCTCCAGTGCTGTCCCTGCTGCTTGTGAGTCTGCTCTCTCAGGTACAGCACCCACAGAGACTGCTCTCTCAGGTACTGCACCCGCTGAGGCCTTGCACACCTTCACCCTTGACTCAGGTGCTTCTCGCTGTTTCTTTCGTGACAGTACTGAGCTCACACCGCTTCCTGCACCGGTCCCAGTCTCCCTGGCTGACCCCTCGGGGGGCCCAGTCCTTGCACGGTCCACCACTGTGCTTCCGTGCCCGGCGGTTCCATCTGGCTCGTTGTCGGGTTTCCACCTCCCCTCGTTCTCGACGAACCTGGTGAGCAACGCTGTCATCCAGGATCAGTGGGTTGACACCTTCACCCCTGGAGGACAGCGTGTGGCGATCCTCACGTGCTCCAGGACCGGCCGTCACCTGGCTACGTTTACCCGTCAGCCGGGGTCGAGTCTCTACACACTGACCACTGCGTCTCCTCAGGTCGCTGCTGTCGGTCAGGTGTCCGCGTCAGGTCTGGTAGCCCACGCCTGTGAGTGTCGTTCCCTGTCGCACCAGACTCTTCTCTGGCACCACCGCCTGGGTCACCCCTCCTTCCGTGGCATGCACCGTCGCCACCTTGTGTCTGGTCTTCCCAGGTCCCTCCCTCCCCTCCCTGCCTCGCCTGCGCCGCCCTGCCTTCCTTGCGTCGAGGGGCGGCAGCGCGCCGCTCCTCACTCCTCCTCGTTCCCCCCGACAGAGGCTCCTCTGCAGACCCTCCACCTGGACGTGTGGGGCCCAGCCCGCGTTCGTGGCCAGGGCGGTGAGCGGTACTTTTTGCTGGTTGTCGACGACTACTCGCGTTACACCACGGTCTTCCCCTTGTGCACCAAGGGTGAGGTCCCTGCTGTTCTGATCCCTTGGATCCGCACAGTTCGTCTCCAGCTCCGCCGCCGTTTCCGGACAGACCTTCCTGTCCTGCGTCTGCACTCTGACAGAGGTGGTGAGTTCTCCTCCGACCTCTTGAGGACCTTCTGTCAGGCGGAGGGCATTGAGCAGACCTTCACGCTTCCGGACTCCCCGCAGCAGAATGGGGTTGCTGAGCGCCGCATTGGCCTGGTCATGGAGGTCGCTCGTACCTCCTTGGTCCATGCGGCGGCTCCCCATTTTCTGTGGCCGTTTGCTGTCCGGTACGCTGCGCATCAGCTCAACCTCTGGCCCCGTGTCTCCTTGCCGGAGACCTCGCCCACACTGCGTTGGACGGGGGAGGTTGGCGATGCGTCGCGCTTCCGGGTGTGGGGTGCTCGTGCCCTTGTCCGCGATACGTCCGCGGACAAGCTCTCCTCCCGCAC